TTACAACATTGTTTGACAATTTAGTTAAAAGTATCATTGGCTCAAAAATTTCAACCATACATTTATTTGCATCTCAACCACCAACATTGTTGATATCAAGATAGAATATCTTGAAATAATGGTTAGATTAAAGGAATCGTGAAGTCTAAACCACGGATTGGATCTTGGGCAATGTAAAACAGAATATACGGCACCTCGGGAATATCATCTCGGTACTTAGACGACGTTCTTATACGATATTGTGAATAATACAGCATATCTTGAAGGTCGTCAGAACATATCGGTTAAACCTCGAAAAGACCACCTCGGTTGAAGAATAATTTATCGGGAAGTCGTAGAAGACTGAAGTTCTATCAGAATACCGACTTCACAAAACGAACCGACTTCAATCCGACAGATGTGACGCTTGTCACACATATAGAGGCGCGCCCATGCTCATCATTGCCTAAAAAGTTTGTCTACGTCATCGCCGCCCCTAAACTGTCAAATCTCCATTAAAACGAAGCTGATTTGCCTTGGGAGGTGTGCCAAACATAACTATAAATAGCAACTTCGAAAACAATACGAGGATTCGGCAAAAGTGATAAAAACAGATATATTTAACTCGGTTTCTTCCTTGTTTAACCGACTTAGTGAACATTGAAAAACCGACTTCCCAGTTCTGTAACCGACTTCAAAATCTTCAATAAAAATCTCATTTTCTACAATCTTTGTTGTAATTTTTACATTGATTACGTTGATTAAATCCGTTTATCAACACACATCATGCCACATCATGTTGTCATTGAATGTTGTACAAATAGCTTTTTCCTAAAATTATTTGGTAAAATTAGCTGATAAGCTAACTAAAATAATATTTCAACAGATCTATCTGAAAAACTACTAAATGAAGCTTATGGGATAAGTTCGGTCTTTCAAAAAAATAAAAAATCGTCATACCAAACAAACTTATTTTGATACGGGAAGCTTATATGCTAACCAAATAAGTTATAAATTAGTTTATGGTGCTTACTAATCACATTATTAATAAATTGTGTCTTTATGTGCATAAATATTATGAAAAGAGGTAAATATTAGTTATTGTCTTATTAATTCAAATTAAAATGAAAAACCATTTGACCAACCAATAAAATAGTATGAAGATAATAAGTACTACCTCCTATTATTTTAAAATGTCCTTTTGGCTTTATCAACTATTAACCAAAATAAATGTCGTTTTGGATCTTTTGTACATATTTTTCCATTATTACCCTCATTTAGTTAATAAATACACTACGTCTTTTCATATTCTCTTCATCTTTTTTTAAAAACATCCATCTCTATATCTTCATTAATGAGGGTTATTATCAATGACGGAGGTGTATTGGGCCCAGGGGGGTCCATGGGCCCCCCTCATTTTTTTTAAATCAATATATATATATATATATATATAAAGAAAATACTATAAAATATGTATAAAAATGTAAAAAAATATTTACAATATATTAATAATTAAAACTTATTTTTATGTTAATTTAATTTAAATTATTAATATTATTTAGTTATTAAAAAATATACTAACAATCTTTATATTTTACATTTCTAGATAAATTTTTTTAAAATATTTATAATGATTTTCGATCTCTTAATTGTAAATCGATTTAGTAATTTATAAAACTCAATATATAGTTGGATTGTTACATTTTAGAATGTTGGTTTTTTACTTTTTTTCTTTTATGTGTAATCACATATTTTAAATTAAGTTATTTTCTTCTTAAGACAATGTTTATTTGATAAGTTTTTATCAACAAAAATGTTATGCAATGTGCTGCAAAAGTTCAATCGAAATCAATTTTTTTTTAAAAAAAAAAACCTTATTTTTCCTTAAACTATAGATGTTGAACTTAAATTATAAATATATAAAATTTCATTTTTTTTTTTGTTCATAACTTTTTTAAAAGTTTGGGAGTGATACGGATTCTAAGTTTTATAAAAACTTAATGGAACACATATCAATATTTATATTTAATATATTTTTACATGAAATGAGTGTTTGGGCTTAAACTACAAGCTCGTTATAACATTTAAAACCGGACCCCCCTGAGTGAAATTCCTAAATCCGTCACTGGTTATTATTGGCAAAAAAATTATTCTTAATTAGTTTGTAACTTTCCAAAATGACACTTATTATAAATAGGAGGAAGTATCAAATTGATTAATATTAATATATATATACTCACAACTCAGTAAAAGAATGTCATTAAAATATCTTGGTTTTCCATAAGTCAAGATGAAAATGAAACTCGACTTTCAGGAATTATGATGGATACCATACAACGAAACGGAGACAAAAATTAAATATAAATGAAGTCACGGTATTTTCACTACCAAGCATTATTAAATTTGATTTTCTTAGCAAGGTTATGTCGTTTAGTCATCTTTGTTGGAGAAATAACATAGAGATACTTTATAAAAAGCAAATAAGATGCCAACAATAAGAAGAGCCTAGAAATAAAAGACCCGTTTAATTTGTTTCATTTTTCTCTTTTGTTTATTTAGTTTGTTGTATTCGTTTCGTCTTTTTGTCATGCACGAAAAGTTCATCATCTTGGGAAAAGACATGGCATAATAGGAAGCTCTTGGAGCATTGCTAGTCAAGAATCTAGCTTATTTTTTTACTAATAATGGTATAGCACCTTCTTCATAGGCTTTACTAAATTAGAACATCATTATTCACGAATATTGAATAACTCTTATAATAAGAATATATATAATTATATAAACTTGTTTTATAAATAAGACCAAAAAAACTACCTAACTCATTAAAAATATGATACTTTCACATAAAATGTGTGGTTAAATTGTCGAACTTAATCCGCTAAACTATAGTTTTAGCCTTTCAAATTGGCTTGGGAAAGTTTATGTGATTTTAGTACTATTCTCTGTACGTTTACACTTACGTTCTTATTCACCTACAATTATTTTAAGGATCCGTTTGTTTTGAGGGATTTACTGAGTGATTTGAAATCCATAGATTTCAAATTTACAAGTTCAATGCTCATGCATGTTGGGATGATAATGGAAGTTGAAAGATTTCAAATTCATGCTATAAATGTTTTTTAGTCACTATTTTGAAGGATTTGAAATGACTCTTCAAACCTACTCATTCGATCATTTAGGTTTATCACCACCGCGAGTCAACACCATCGGTGCGAGCTAGACAATTTATTTATAATATTTTCAACACATCCATTCAAAAAGTATGCAAGTACAAAAATTTATATTTCAAAAATTTTGAAATCAAGGGATTTCAAATCCCTCAAAACAAACGGACCATAAATGTTCCGAATCTCACATATTACCCCATTTCCTTCACATATTTAAAGATCTAATAAATATTTATTAAATACACGATTATCATTTTTATTGAAGAAAACTCATCATCTATAAAACTCGATCGTATTATATTGCAATATTTTTGATAACTCATATTATATAACATACTTGATATATAAAAAGTATTTGTTCCCTCTCACTTATTTTTATTTTGTCTGTTTTTTATAATTAAGCAGAGTCATAGCAATACTCTCATATAAACTGAATTATTGTTGTTAATTAGACATTGACCTTGTTTGCGATCAGCGGATAGCGAATAGCGAATTATATTAGCTGATTCGACCAGCGGATTGCATTAGCGGTTTTTAAATAATTTTTTGGTAAATAGCTGAAAACTTATAGCTGTTTGACATTACAAAATGACCAATAAGGACATTTTATTATTTAGGGTGTATTTTAATAATAATATATTAAAATATTTAATCTTCTTTAGTTGGTAATTTTTATATATATATATATATATATTTTAAATTTACTAACACTTGATGAACAAGTTTTGAATTTTACATTTTTCTAGATAAATTAATCATATGGATGACATATTATTGTTTATTAGCTCCATAAACCAATGTAGATTGTAAAATAAATAAGACAAATTAAAAAGTTCCAAGTAAAACCTCTCAATTGTGAATCCTCTATCCCAAAAAGTTGCTCTAATGAGCTTTTTCTAAATTAGAGTTTTGGGCACAAAAAGATTATCAAATAAGTTATTTACCAAACAAGTTCAGTAGCGGATTTGACGAGTCAAACTTCTCAATTAAGTCCAATCCGCTAATTTATCTTCAATCCGCTATTTACCAAACGGGCCCTTAATTGCCCATATTTAAGAAGTTTCATTTTCCTTAAATTTCTATGGGAGGCAACTAAAAGTTAGTCCTGGATTCTGCATTTATATTCCATACACGTTGAAAATAGGACACATAAATAACCGTGCCTCATATAACAATTAGCGCAAATACTTAGGTGCGGAACAATTAGGCTATGGGCCCATGGCCAAGGCACAGTCATAACCCATACCTCTGAGTAAAACAAGTCACAGTTTTGTCGGTTTCAGGTGGTTTTGTGCAGTGATTTTTTTCACCAAACTTATTTGCCATGGCCCATATAGTTAGGTAAATTGTTCCATCCAAATTGCAAAGTAAAAATTCAGTGGAATATAAAAATTAAAAATAGAACTGGTGATCACTTTCATCAAACATGTATTCTTGTCAGTAAATAATGTATTTTTTTTACTGTCGTTTTCACCTGTTTCTTATGTATGTCAACAAGTGAGAAAAAAAGAAGTTCCCAACATTTTATAGTCCATCAACGTATGCTTCTGAGTTCAACTCGACTCGTTAAAACTAATTAGGTTCATATAATAAGAGTTTTTAGATAATTTTCTAAATTTTAGCAAACTATAGCTTATAAAGTATTGAATTCGACTTGTTTACAGTTCTATATGTAACGCAAAATTATTTTTTTTTACCATTGAATCAACACACTACCTATCATGTAGGCGTGTATTTGTGCATGTGATTGAACTATTAAAAAAATCACACCTATATAGGATGGAATCTACACAGTTGAAAGCTATGAGACATTCAATTAATTAGAATAATGTAAAGAAGCTATGACGAAGCAAGTTTCGAGATATAATTTACTTTATTAGCTGCTCATAAATGAGGTTATCTTAATGTGAATTAAATACAAATATCATAATGCATATTTAAGAGCCTCTATTAATCAAGTGCGAGAGAGGTAGGGTAATGTCTAGCTGATTAATTACACGGCAGTAATTAATTAATAGTATGCACTACATAATTAAACATTATTATTAAAATGTACTGCTAACAAAGCAAAGTTGACAAAAGGTACAGATAAACCAACAGGAATCTAACGGCCGTTAACCAGGGGACTAAGGGCCGTCTCTTTGCACGGACTCGGCGGCAGGCTACCCTTTCCCGTCGCAACAAGCCGCTGCACAAACCTTTCAATCCTCTGGCCGTTGGTCTCCGTCAACAGCCGTTTTCCCCCAAACGGCAACGACTCCACTCCCCTCTCCGCCAGAACGTCTTCACCCTCGCAGTTAGCCTACAAAAATAACGCCGTTAGAATTTATTTAACTCCGTTATCCGCGGCAGAGATAACGCCGTTGATGAAGGCGAAAAATTAACTCTGTTACCTGAATTCTGACGTAATCCATGGGATTCAAGCAGAAGGCGTTGCCCAACATCTGGTCGACGGTCTCCGATACGCCGTCGAGGGAGATTCCGACGACCGTCTCCGTCGAGCACTCGCCGTCGCGGCGGAGCTTCAGCCCCGACGGGCTGCTCATTGGTCCGTTACCGATCGACAGAACCAGCAGATCCTCAACTCCGGTCACCGACGGGAAATCGCGCTTGTTGTGCAGCACGTGCGTGACGGCCGCCGCCGTCGGGTTGTTCATCACGAGTCCGCCGTCAACTGCCAGGCAGGTCGTTTTGCCGTCCACGGACGAGAGCTTGTACGGCTTGAGCACCGGCGGCGTCGCCGTCGCGGCTCGAATCACCCGCCACAGCTCGAAGTCGAAGCTAGGCGAGCCGGCGGCGTCGGCTCGTGAGAACACGAACGGCGCCGAGCTGATCAGATCGAAGCACGGCACGAGCAGCGGCTTGCACGCGTCGGAGATCTTCATCACCTTCCCGTCTTCCCTCCGGAACGCCTCCTTCAGTACGGCGTCCATGCTTCCACCGGAAAACCTCGTCCGGCGTCGGAAGACGCCGGCGGTTCTCGATTTGAACAGCCGGCCGCGATTCTCCATTAGGAACCCTGCGGCGTCCCTCGCGGTGTGCAGCGGACGGCCGGAGCCGTCGTCTGCGACGAGCATCGCGGCGAGGAGGGCGCCGATTCCGGTGCCGGCGACGATGTCGAAGAAATCAGCCACGCGAGCGTTGGGATCGCCGGTTTTCTCCTGGATCTGGTCCTCGAGGCGGGCCAAAGCGGCGCAGGCGACAATGGCGGTGGTTCCTCCGCCGTCAATGCTGAGGGCGCGGGTTTTTTTGCTCTCGCAGTGGTGCAGCCATTGCTGCTCGAGCTTGGAGAAAATCTCCAAGGTAAGCGTGCTCAACTCCATCGCTTTCAGTCTAAATTACCGATAAATATAGATAAATCGCTATATATATATATATATGTAAAGGTGTATGTATATCAATGGCGGATAACTCGATAGGGATTGCCCGGGCAAAAGCGGAAAAAGTCACGCTTAACTACTGAAGCACATTAAATGCAGAGAGTAAATAAACACGCAATGAGAGTGTTGCTACACTTTTTTTCTATAAATATTATGC